AAAATGTAAATTTGTCTCAAGCTTTGTTAAAGTGTTTAACACCATGTAATTGTCGATTGCACCTCTCAGCCACCGTAGTACACACATCTATGGAATCAGAATTTCAATAGCTTACCATTAAATGACGGATATACCTCAGATATTAATGTGTAGAACTACAATATGTGAAATGATATAGCAATATCTTGTAAAATTATGTGAAAACATGAATAAAACTACACATCTTCAGATGTTATACATACATACAGTAAGTGTCCTAGACTACTAATACAAAGTTATTATGGCATTGTATGCTGTGTGTTATTTGTAACATCTTCATAAAGTATCATTTATTGTGGGGATAGACACTTTTGAGTCCAGTTTTGGATAGTCTGCCGTGGTTTCATTCCATTTAAAAGAGCTGTTTGATGCTCGGCGTAACCTTGGCACACTGCCACTCCAACATCCAATCACAGAGCTTGAAGATTAATCACGGGGTTTGTCAAGCAAAGGGACTGTAGTCCCAAACAATAGCTGAGGATTATGGGTAGTGTAGTGTCTTCGGCCACCCTAAACAGCGAAAAAACTAGTTGTTTCTCCGAATCGAAGGGGGAAAACACAAAAGCATTGTACACAATTTAAACCAATCAATGTTGTGTAATTAACAAGGACAAACTGATGTTTTTAGTTTTTTGTAGATGAGTACTGCAGATTACTATGCAAACTTCGAGACCGGAAATACTTTTTTCACCCCAACCTGCTGCCTGGCAACGCAATTCTGTTGATATTTATTTCATATCGCATTAACACCATATCCCAACGTGCAATGCGGCTAAAACATCCAATCACCGGGCTTCAACCATAGCTGAGGATCTTGGGTAATCAGTTCAGTGGCTGTGCATCGCAATGTTGCTCGAAATGTCCCATATTGGTCTACGTCTGTTTCCGGTGACTTTATTTTGAAATTCAGTTCCTGCCGGATGTCAAAAAAGCCCGATATTATAGAATTAAACAAATCAATAAAAACAAGGATAATTGGGTGTTATTGTTGAGTAAATAACAGTGTGTTATTTTAAAAACAATAACAAATTAGAAGGAAAAAAAGATTTAAAAAATACATATTTCCGTATTCTGAGCCCCATTTATTTTCCTCGCGGACGGCAAAAAAAGTCCGACATTATACGATTTAAAATAAAACAATAATCGTGGCTTGATATTGAGTAAGAACATGTTTTTATGAACCACAGCTTCCGGTCTTCCAAGACCCGACCGGACTAAAAGACGAGACATACTACCAATAGAAATACATTGCTTTTAAAATCATTCTGTGTGACACGAAAAAAAAGGGGAAAATCGTGTTGGTGAACACGAATCAAAAGATTAAATGTCGAGACTATAACACCAAATGCCGTGAGACTGGGTTGTATATTACTTATTTTATACTTTCCCTTCTCTCAAATAATCTTACAAGTTTTACAAGCAACACCAATCAGATTTGAAGGACAGTACCCTTTATACCTGTGCCTCCCGGTGCAATATGATTAAGACATAAAGGAATACATTTATTATAAAGTCAGCTGCTGATTACTCACCACAGTCCGGTATCTGTGACCGAAAGTCAACGATGATGGAGAATCTGCGGCAGTGGCGAGCGTAGTGGGCCAGCGCAGAGCAGAGGCAGGGCGTCCCGCACTTACAGGTGTCTGAGCGACACTGCTGATGGAAGGATGTCGGGCTGAGGTACTCGTGGCAGGCGGAGAACAGATCCTGGTTCAGTACATCACACATCTCTGAGGCGTAAGCCACTGAGCAGGGCAAGGAGCAGCAAGTTAGTACTATATGCAAAATTCACAACTCCTGTATCTAAAATATACAAACAAAAAGTGTTTTTGTAGCACTGCACATGTATATTTAGGAATGAATTTGAAATCCAGGCTGATTCCAACACATCCATGTATATGCACATGTCTAAAGTTAATAACGCTCTAGATATTTAAAAGTAGTTTAAAGATATATAAAAAGGAACACAACATCTAACACTATACTTTTTGAAATAGGGAGAGCTAACGGCATGAGAGGAACTGACCGGCCTGCTGGTGTGTATCACAGGGGTCGAGCTGAGGCGTACTCAGAGTGGTGGAACAGGCTGACGAGACCCTCCAGGCGTTTCCAAACAGGTGAGGAGTGCTTTCTATCATACCTGATGGAGATCTGCAGGAAAACAGGAGCACAGATTCATCACATGGAGCTAGAAACCAGCTAGCTTATTTTGTTTTGTCGAGTCTCAGGGTCGTACCCCTTTCAGTGCCGCCTTTGAATTGTTGTGTTAATACTCCCTATTGTTTCGACTTTTTTCTCAACATTTCCACTTTGAAAGCATGAGTGTAAGCATCAGTGTTCGGGGTAACGCGCCACTTTTTTTACTAACTACCCCATTACTGGTAAGCATCATAAAGCCTATTGTACTACAACAACAACATTAGCATTAGCACTAGCTATAGCACAACAAGCTACTTCTACCTCTAGTAACCTTGTGGTAAGATCTGTTTAGTGCCATTATACTTATTTAAACGTGTAATACGTGGAAGACAAACCCAGAGAAAAGCAGCACTCATTATTAAATTGAATTCAGTCTTTGTAAAGATAAACATATTCTTGTAACCTTTAAAAGGGGAGCAGGAATAATATGTAGGCAACTGTACTACTAGTTATAGACATTGTAGGTTCTCACCTCTGCTTTTAAGAAGGAGCTACCACTGTCTGAGTTTCTGACTAACTCTCCCATTTGTTTTGGCCAATAAAAGTGTCTAAAACAACTGTTAATCCTTATATTTGAACTACTTTATCCTAAAGGTCAGTACAAAAAAACAACTGAAATCAGCACCAAAATAATAAAGGATACTGCACATCATGTTTTTAACTGCAAAGTCCTTTCTGGAGATCTTCAGGCAAAGTGAGTTCCAGTTTTCTTCCTAGTAGGATACGACCACTTCAGTCTCAAACTGTGATGTATATCGATTTACAGCTGTTAGACAACATCCGCCCTTTATGGTGGGCCATTACAACGAGGTACAGTGGAACCCCTATTCCACTAACAGTAAATTCCTTGTTGAAGTGGCGTGTCCAGTTGGGCGCTCATCTGGCCCGCCTTAAAGAGCTGATCAGAGAGCGAGGCTTTTGATGCCGAGCCGTCAAACCAGTGTGCATTACAGAGAGCGAGTGTGAGAGAGAGAGAGCACTTCACCATCACCTCCCTGTCCACCTCTGAAACAGGAGCATGCTCTCTCTTTTAAACATAGGAGGGGGGGGGGTTGGAAGAGGGCGCGGGACGGGTCAAAGGTGGGCCGTCACACACTTACAGGAAGTCATCTTGGATGTTGCCGTTGAAGGTGCCACACAGGCCCACCGTGTCGTCCTTCCACTGCTCGTCGGCCTGCAGGTAGATGCGGAACTCCTTCCAGCTGTACTGCAGGCGCAGGCCGAACGCCGTCTTCACCTGGAGGAACATGGACGACAGCTCCTGGATGTTGAAGAGGTCTGGGAGAGATGAGGGAGTATGGCTTTAAGATAGTGGTAGATGAGATAATACAAGGTGCATTTCCATTCATGTATGCACAAGAAAATGACAATTTGTTTTACATCCGTATTCATATGCTAACTAAACATATAATAAATACATGATTTTCCAAATAACTGCTTAAAGGACTGGCTTTCAAAAGAGGAATTGAATAATGTGGTGCTGAAAGTAGTTTCGGAAATGTTTTGAATGTGCTTTGCTTTGAACCTCAAGATGTATCGTCTTTTTTTTCTTTTGTTGTGTATCATTTTTATTTCCATATGACTTAAAGACATATTGACTGACTTATTGACTGATTTATTGACTGATCGACTGACTGATTAATTGATTGACTGTAAACTAATATATAGTCAGAAATGTATTTCTTCAGAACAGAAGATAGGTGTTTTTTTCTTATTCCTTAAGGTACCGAAACATCAGATCATTCTCACACAGTTCATCAAAAATCAAATAAAAGGCTGTTGACTCCATCAACAGACAGCGGCAGACTGTGAAAACATTGGTGTAAAAAGGGAATAATACTCAGAGAGACAGTATTTTGTGAAACACAATGCAAGCGCTAGTATTAGGAAAATATCTGTTCAATGGCACAGCTGTCATTAAATCCGTCTAGAACTGCATAGTGCTGGAATAATGCTGGCGCTGGATGTCGAAAGTAAAAAAAGGGATAAAAGGGTAGGAAGTTACCATCAGAATACGGCAGAGAGATGCGGTACTGTCCCGCCATGAAGACCTCGCCAACGTGGCTCAGTGTAATCTCTGTTCTTGGATCCTCGTCAATAACCAGGTTAACTGATTGGATGCAGGCCCCATCCAAATTCTGCAATTGGGACAAGATGGCTGGATAAGGCAGGCTGGCATTATCCCAAACAGTAGCAGCCATTTAGATACGCAACAGGACACACAATGAGAGAGATAGTGGTAAATGAGACAGAGAGAAAGAAAGAGAAAGAGATAGATTGGAGAGGAACCAAGAAGTGAATGGAAACTTACTCACACACTATAATCATAGAAAAGTGGTGGTAGAAGAAGTACTCGAAAATTAAAACTAAGGTATTCGATTAAAACTGATGAAAGATGTTAAACCCTTCTGGTTTTGCAATTGTGATGATTCCTTAAGTGTGTTCATACAGTAGCTTCAACATTTTATTCACTATGTGTTTATTCACCCTTTACAGCCAATGCACTGTGCCAACTGTTCAGTTGTTAGCTGGCTAGCTAGCACCAGCCTGTGGGAGTTAAATCCGTGTATCTACCGTCCAATTGTTTTTCTTTATTAAACACGTAAACGGAAGAGCGTCTGAGAGGCCTTTTTGCTTTTTACCTTACTAAATGGTCTAATGGTCATTGGAGCGAGGGGCGGGGCGAAACTCACGGAAGTGATTTCAAAACAAAAGCACTCGTTTGCTAAAATCACACTTGAATCACTACAGTATCCTGCTGAAGGAA